AAGGTACTCTAGTCTAGACCATTTCCAAATGGAAGAAATTTTTTCCTCTTGGTTCCTAAGGTTTAGCCACAACATTACCAAGTCCTATCAGGAGAATTATGTTTACCAAGTTCCCATTTCTCCAGAATTTTAACAAGATTCCACCAGTATCTGTGCCCCCCCCCCCCACCCCCGCCGGCTCTTCAAGAGAGCAATTCCAGACTGCTTTTATTTGTTTATTTCCTGTTTGCGTAGAGTGGAGCTGAAGGACTTTCTGCTGCTGGAAAACGTACAGCAACTCAAGAAAAAACACCACTTTTGCTCCTTTTCAGGAACAAAAGTGAAAACAATTATGGGTCCTTTTTGAATTGCTTTGAGGGATTGGCAGGTAAAAATGTTTGCAGCATGGAAGTGCTTATGCAGCAAATTGATATGTATTTACCATAACTATACTACTCAGTTCACAATAAGCCACAATGTGTTTGTATAATCAGACAGTAAGAAAATAGTCAAAAGCAAAGAAGTAAGGAAAAATGAACATGTGTCAAGGAAGTAATACTACTTACATTGAAAGTAGAAGAAAATAACACAGAAAAGAGGAGGATGTCCATTAAATTTCACCAAGAGAATTATTTTTAAGATGCAGATATGAGAAATTAAAATCAAAACAGTTATGGTATTATACTCAGATTTATAGGTCATATTTCTGTCAGAAACAAAGGAGCTGCAATCTCCAATTTGAAAACTTTGAATCCTAATGTCCTAGAATCAGGCGTAAAATCATAAAATAACAGAATTGTAGCAAGGAACATGTAATGATAATAAACCTAATTGAAAACAACAAATTTAATCTGGATGTCTTTAATTAATTTATTTTATCATATTTATTAGAGCTGCCCGGAGTCTGTTGGAATGGGTGGCAGTCTGGCTTTATCTGATTTAGTATTGAATTATTTGTTGTTCTTGTGATCCAAGGTATTCTCAACAATTTTATTCAGCACCATAATTCAAAGGCATCATTTTATTTTATTTTTTTGTTCAGGCTTGTTTGATGTTTTCAGAGCAGAAATGTCAAGACTGAACATTGGCTGTCTTGGAACCAAAAAAGTGAAATGGACTAGAATGGGTCACTTCACATCAAAGGAACATCAAATGTTTTAGTTCAGACCAGAAAATCGTATAAGACATGGGGTCACTCTGATTATTAACAAAAGAATGTCAAAGTCAGTACTTGGATTCAACCCCAAAATAATAGGATGATTTTAATTCAAGTCTAAGGCCAGCCAATCAATATAACAGTGATTTAACTCTATGCTCCAATTACACATGCATAGGAAAGCTGAACAGTTCTAGGACTACTTGCAACATACAGTGGGGCAAAAAAGTATTTAGTCAGCCACCAATTGTGCAAGTTCTCCCACTTAAAAAGATGAGAGAGGCCTGTAATTTTCATCATAGGTATACCTCAACTATGAGAGACAAAATGAGAAAAAAAATCCAGAAAATCACATTGTCTGATTTTTAAAGAATTTATTTGCAAATCATGGTGGAAAATAAGTATTTGGTGGACACCAGAAACAAAATTGTAGACCTGCACCAGGCTGGGAAGACTGAATCTGCAATAGGCAAGCAGCTTGGTGTGAAGAAATCGGACACCAGAAACAAAATTGTAGACCTGCACCAGGCTGGGAAGACTGAATCTGCAATAGGCAAGCAGCTTGGTGTGAAGAAATCGGACACCAGAAACAAAATTGTAGACCTGCACCAGGCTGGGAAGACTGAATCTGCAATAGGCAAGCAGCTTGGTGTGAAGAAATCGGACACCAGAAACAAAATTGTAGACCTGCACCAGGCTGGGAAGACTGAATCTGCAATAGGCAAGCAGCTTGGTGTGAAGAAATCGGACACCAGAAACAAAATTGTAGACCTGCACCAGGCTGGGAAGACTGAATCTGCAATAGGCAAGCAGCTTGGTGTGAAGAAATCGGACACCAGAAACAAAATTGTAGACCTGCACCAGGCTGGGAAGACTGAATCTGCAATAGGCAAGCAGCTTGGTGTGAAGAAATCAACTGTGGGAGCAATAATTAGAAAATGGAAGACATACAAGACCAAATACTTATTTTCCACCATGATTTGCAAATAAATTCTTTAAAAATCAGACAATGTGATTTTCTGGATTTTTTTTCTCATTTTGTCTCTCATAGTTGAGGTATACCTATGATGAAAATTACAGGCCTCTCTCATCTTTTTAAGTGGGAGAACCTGCACAATTGGTGGCTGACTGAATACTTTTTTGCCCCACTGTAACACCAAAAAAAGACATCATGCTAATCATATGAGATTGAAATACTAGTTATAAAATAGCATCTGGAATAATGAAAAAAATCTGGCTTCCCGGACAGCACTGAGTAGGAGATAGCTTAACAGTGTTCTGCCAAGTAAATCAGTGTTTATAGAATTATCTTCTTCCAACAATCTAAAAGACAACTCTACACATGGACATCACTGGATAGACAGCACCAAAATCAAACTGACTATATATTTTGCCAGGAAAGATAAAGTAATTCTATGCAGTCAACAAAAACAAGAACTGATGCTGCTGTGGTTCAGATCTTTAAAAATTGCAACTTAATCCCTTCATTGCACTCTGAAGGGCTCCTACATGTGTACAAAATCTTCCATGGCCTGTTAAGGGCTGCATTCTCACAGTGTATTAGTTAAAATGTTCACTAATAAGTAAAGCACCATGTTCACCAGTTAAAGAGGATATACTGCACCACTTTAATAGAGAATCTTAATTTACTGTCTCACCTAAAGTAGATTTTGCATTCTAGATTTATTGCAGTTTACAAAATCCAGTTTCCAGATCTCCCAAGCGATGCTGAATTTTAACGTGCTGTGCAAACACAGCCACTATTTAAAAGACATGCGGTACAGTACTACAGAGTCTGATGTATTCTGGAAACTCACTTCATGTTTCTGCAAGTCACAGGGTGACAAATGCTTTAATAAACATTCACTACCCAATCTGTATCCTCAAGATGTACTGGATTTTAGTTTAATGCCCTGTGGAATTATGGGAGTTGAAGTCCAGTATTATTGCAATTCCACTGGTTGAGGGAAGGTAATTCAATAAAGCTGCAATGAACTCCGATCAGAACTCATTTTTCTAAGACGGATGAAGCCTGAAAGCTAACAGAGCTAGACCATTAAACTATCTGTTACCTCATTACAGGATCCGCGTATTATCCATTACCAACGTAATAAAACCAAGGACTTCTAATTGTGACGTATTTAACATACCATGCTTACAAATTTAAACACGTTTGGAAGCTTTAACAGCTGAAGTAATTGTAACTAACATTGGGTTAGTGGCTTTGATTTCCATTCTTTTATTTTACCTGCGTTATTAACCTACCATTTGATTTTGCTACGAATGTTTTAAATTACCCACTAACCCATCCAAAGAACTCAACTAACTGGATTAACAGCAGTATTAACCACTACTGAGGCTGACAACTGAGACAGTTTTGCATGCGTTCTTCATTATACTATGTTTCGCTCGAAGAACTCAGATGGAGGCGGCACTGGCTCCCCTCCTTTATTTCCTTTGGGGGGCGGGGGGTCGCTGCTTCGTCCCCAGCTTTAAATTTGGATTCAGACCAAGGCTGCAATTTCGCGCGCGCTTCCGAGGCAAGAGCCGCACTTCATGTGGGCCAGGCAAAACAATCTGGGATGACCGGCCCCGCGGCACTCTCGGGGCGAAGAAGCCGCTCCCCCTCGCCCGCTGGCTCGCGCGCGCCCCCAGGACGCCTCCCCCGCCGAGCGACTAGCAGGAGCGGGGCGGCCCGCGCTGCGCCTCCCTCTCGCCGCTCGCCCGCGGGGCGTGGCTAGCTCTGCCTTTCGCCATGATGAACAAATGACCTCGCGGGGAATGAAATTTAAATTCCACAAAGGCGAGAGAGTTCTTTGCTTCGAGCCGGACCCGACCAAGGCGAAGGTGCTTTATGATGCCAAGGTGGGACTCCTCCGCCCAGCGCGCGGCCCTCCTTTCCCCGCGCGCCAACCGCCGCCGCCGAACGGAAAGCGCCTCCTTCTCCCAGGCGCTTCCGGGTGTTGTTTGTGTCGTTGAACGCAGGAGGCTGGCGGCCCTCGTTGCGAGCCTTCTGCCGGGAGATCGGGAAGAGGAAGCCGCTATCTTCCATTTCCGTTTCTCCCTCTTGCAAAAAAAAAAAAAAAAGGACATTCGTTTAAAACTGTTAACGTTGCGGCTGCCTCTACGTTGAAACGGGCGCTGCGCGCAAATATTCGGTGTCGGGTAAGGGAAGAGACGGCCCTAAATGGAAGGAAGCAAATTTCTCCTTTCTTTCTCTCCCTCCGCGCCTCATCCTATTTGTTGCAGAAGGGCCACCAGTCTCCTTAGGATGTGCATTTAAAGTTAGGGTGATCTGCAGGGATAACACTGTGGTAATGTTTGGTTAGCATAAGCAAAATGCTGGGTGCAGGTAACAATTTGATTATTCCTTTATTTTCTGGAGAGTGTGAGAATAGCAGGTCCTTGGGTTCCTAATCATAGGCAGACGTTTGGTAATAAGGTGTTTCTGTTTATAGAACAATCCAGATACAGTACCAGTCTACTGCACACAGTTAAACTGTCACTAGCATCTCGTGTATTCATTCAATAGTGCACATTAAAACTGCTTTCAAGCATAGAATACCTTATCTTTTTTTTTTTTGGTCGTTTTTATCTTTTCTGGTTAATTGGCAATGGATTTTTATATTTTATTCATTTATTTTTGTGCACTGGCTTAACATTTATTCAGCGCACTGCCTTTTTTACTGTTTGGTTACATATGCAAGCTTTTTTAAAATGAAGTGAAATTGCATTGCAAAGTATTGTGGTTTCCAGTGACTATATTTGTATAATATTCCTAACAGTTTGCTTAATCATGGTTCACCTAACAGGCAGACAATCCATGGGCTGTGTGCAGCACCCCAGCACCATAAGATGCTGCAGATGAAATTCGAGGGCAAAATAGTTGCCTTTTGGTGGTGCAGTGTTGGATCTTCTGGAGTAGATTTTAAGGGGGGTGTAAAATTATTTGCCTCCCCTGTTCCCATTCCACTCTTAATCCCTTGGAAAGCAAAAAAAAAAAAACCCCACAATATGTGCCCTGGGTTTATATAGCATGCAACACTACAATTGTGATTTCGTGTATCATGCACACCAGTAACAGAGTCTTTGAACATCTATAACAAAGCAAGATTCACCTTCATGATAACTACACTAATTACAGTCCTCTACACTGGGTCCTCACCATCCCCTTTTCACAAGAAGAAAATATTTTTATTCTTTTTATACTTTTTCGTACATAGAAATATGCATACTTTAAAACAATATAATGGTTTAACGTATTCCTATTTCTGTAGAATTGAGATGTTCAGTTGGCTAGCAACAGCTATTTGATAAGGATTTGAGCATTGTAATGTAACTTGCTTCCTTGTGCAAAAATGCCCCTAGGAAAGAAAGGAGCATCTTGATGTACTACTGTGCTAAATATGTAATTATGTTACTGTGTTCTAAGTTAAGGTGTGCATATTTGAATGTAATTAGCAAATTGGTATGGAATTTGCTTGAGAGTGTGATGGCTTAATTCCAGGAACCTCTTGCAAATGGGCCAAATTTCAACATCCAGTATATTCCATAAAGAATATTCCAAGAGGAAGCAGTTGATTCCCATTTCATCTTCAAAGTCCCTTTATTTTTCCTTCTGAATAAAAAAGGGCTCCAAGAGGGCTGGGCTTGAAGAAGGGTGATGCTTACCTTACTGGACTCTTGTCTTCTGACTTGCTTGGAAATGAAATGAAGCAGAGATAATTTGGATTTCACAACAGGATTCAGTTTCATATCTCCTTCCTTAGCCATCCTTACGTAGGATTGATAGGCTATGTCAATCCTGCATAACACTTTTCAAAATAAACAGTAAGTTTTTTAAAGAAATTGGTATTTTTTCTACTTGGGAAAGGGGGGAAATTAATGGATTTCTTAAAATGGGCAAGAAATCATATTTTGAAAAGCCAGTGACAAGTAACAATTAGTAATTCATATTTAGAACAAATGCATAACTTAAAAACACAGCTACTTGGCAATTTATATTCCCATATAATTGCCTGTTGATAAATTCTTGGACCAGTTATATAAGTAGTATATGATGCAAACTACAATAATGCTCAAAGAGCAACACATGCAGTGATGTCATGTAAATGTTGCTGTTGTGTGCTTGTGTCATGATGTGTGATGTCATCACACATTTGCCCCCTTCAGTCACCCATCCCTTATTGCTTCTAAAGAAAGCAAATATTAGTTATCTTCTATCTGTTGCCAAATGTTCTAGTTTAATCTAGTATTCCAAGTGCTTTAATTTTTTTGTAATAGAGGGATGTCATTACATCCAAATGCTGTATTATAATCTCTGAAATATATTTGATTTTTTAAAAAATATTTTGAAATGAGAAGTTATGGAATATATTCTTAATTACTTTGCTTATGCTCTTGTGTTATAAGCAATGAATTGTAAAAAAAAAAAAAAGATTTTAATAATTTGAGTACATGCCTATGGAAATGTTTACATATGCTTGTGTGTTTGATTTTAGATCGTTGATATTGTTATCGGAAAGGATGAGAAAGGAAGAAAGATCCCAGAATATCTGATCCATTTTAATGGTTGGAATAGAAGGTGAGCATATATTTAAATAAAAATGCCAAATATTCCTAACTAGCAGAGTTAGTAATCCATATGTAATCCATACTATTCTAGATGAAGCTTGGACTCTAATGTGTTCTAGATCGACTTTAAAAATTATTCAGAAGCTTCTGCTGGTACATTGTGCTGCTAAATGCTAGTAAGTCCTTGGTAGGTAGTTTACATAATGTCCTAATTGCCAGCACGTTTCTGACTTTAATTTTAAGCAATTTGAAATCTTGATTCACCAGACTTTAGATGCAAATCAAATTTCCATCTCAACATCCCCCCTAAAACAGTGGCCTTACATAGTGGGATGACGTAATTATGTTAATTTTACCTTAATTTTACAAAATCCCCAGATGATTTATACCATTTGTGTAGTAATATCAATATACAAATGATAATATGTTTGTGTGTGCGTAATTTTAGATCATACACAAGTGTAAATTAATGCAAATAATGTAACTGATTATTTGTATACTGATGTAATGCAAATTATGGAGATTACCATGATGATACACTTTTGCAATTAACATACATTTGGGGGCAATGGACTCCTCTTTCACCAAAATGGCTTGTTAAAATGAGGGTTCACTGTCTTGTTTTATCCATGCCAGTATACCAGCATTGTCAGATCACGGTGGTATCCTTACTATCTCAGTATATCATAAACAGCTGAGCTTCTGCAGGCAAAATATCTTCAGTCTGAATGCTGGTCTATTGTAAACAATAAATTCTGGATCCTCAAATCCACATCCACAACCACCTCTATCAGTTTACTGAAAATGATTATTAATGGAATCCACAGTCTATCTTATCTGCTCACCAACACTTAGAGTGCCAACGCTTAAGATCAGTTGGCAGCTTGAGAGCTATATGCATAGTAATGTTCAAGCTGACTTACTCCTTGATCTAATGCATCCAATCAGCTAGGTAGACATCCATTTCCATAATCAAATAATTATTTTATTATTTGGGTTTTTTTTAACTACTTAGTTGGGACAGATGGGCAGCTGAAGATCATGTACTTCGTGACACTGATGAAAACCGCAGATTACAGCGCAAATTGGCAAGAAAAGCTGTGGCTCGCATGTAAGGATCAAATATGGTTAACATTTTTTTGTAATAGATTAAATCATTTTTTAGATTGCCATAAGTGTATTTCAGTAGCAGCTCTACTGTCTTTAATCCTGGAGAGATGCTATAGCTATTATGTATGTGCAGATGGTTTTCCCTGTTTTTTAAACATACAGTGTTTTGCACCCCAAAATATTTGTTGCCGTTATAAGGTCACATGTTGCCCTTATAATGGCAGGAAAGTCATTTCTAATTAGGAGTTCTATAAAATGGGAGAATGCTTGTTACTAGCAGGTAGAAAAAATAGAAGGCAGGTTTGCCTTTTCCTGTGTTCTTCTAAAAGGAAGAATCACTTGTTCTCTATATCCTCCTGATTTATTTTTATTTTATTAATTCTTCTAAAAATGATGGTTTTGTTTTTGCTTCGATAATAAGCTACAGATTATAAACACATATAAACTAGGCTCTGATAAATGCTAAACTATAGGGAGGGAAAACGAAGGTATGTTACTATAGTTTGCATTGTGTATGAGTTGGCCCCTACATATTTGAAATCTGTTATGTTTTTAATGTTCAGAGAAAGAAATGCAAACAGTATGCCCCCTTTTCTCAATGCTAATTTTTGCTTTAACTGCTTTAAAGCAAATTTTAAAAATCATGATGTTAGCTAAATGGTAGCCTTTCTTCAATCTCCTTTAGGAGAAGAAAAGGAAAAAAAGGGCGTTGCAGATTGCCTGGTGTTGATTCTGTACTGAAGCTCCTTCCTACTGAAGAGAATGAAAAGAGTAGTGAAAATTGTAAGTTGACATATTGGGGATACTTGTGCTACCTAATTAAATATTACTATAGTCAATTAATAAGCATAAAAATAGATATGTTCCTCTTCCACATGTGTTTGCAACTTAAAAGAAATTGTGGTGATAAAGGAAGCTGTAGTATAGAGAAGACAGTCAGTGTGACCAAGTATATTGAATGTAGACCTGTTGGCTATTTTCTCTTTTTTTAGTGTCTACTTGGATAGTTGAATTTAATCAGTATGTTAAAAATATTAAAGAACATATTAAATATATATTAGGTCAATTATTTTATGTATTGTTGAATTAAGTGTCTTTTACAAGAAGTTCCACAGTGTTTCAGAGTTCAGGTTTCGAAAGTGAACGTATCTTGGGAAAAGAATCAAAGCACTATAATGTTCAGCAAAAAGTAGCCTTTTGTCAACAAATAATAGCAGATGGATAACTTAGGTTTATTATTTTTTTATTATATGGTTTTATATACATCCCACTACCAATTAAGTCGGCTTAGAAAAACAAGGGAATACATGTAACAAAACAGGAGCAAACAATATCAATTTATCTAAAAGATGGGCCACAAATACTCAGTAGAACAGCCAGGTCTTAAGCTACTTATTTATAAAAGGTATATGGCCACCCATCTTGTACAGTATAACTCTAAGCAGCTAACAGCCATCAAACCACTATATGTAAAAACTAAAAACCAGGAACTCCCACCCTTTCCTTTTATTCTGTGGAAAACTAGGGAGGGTCCTTTCTGAAATACTTTTCATGCCCCTTCTCATTCTGTGGACTGATCTATCTTTTACATGCCAGTTGTTCAGTCTATGGCTCTTCCTCCTGTCTCCCAAGATCATTCCCACATACCATTACAAATTGACATCATTTGATAGAGGAGACCTGGACTGTGCCCGTCTTATCCAATCTGGTGGATGGGCAGATACCCTCAGGGAGGAGGTGGACCCATGGATAACCTGGCCTTGTGCCATTCAGGGCTTTAAAGGTGATAACTAGCACCATGAATTCCATCCAGAAGGAGACTTGGAACCAGTGCAGGTTGTGCAGCAGGGGAGTAACATGGGCAAACCTCAGAGTGCCCAGAACTGCATGCACTACTGCATATGTGTCAAACTCAAGGCCCGCAGGCCACATCCGGCCCGGCGTGTAATTATATCTGGCCCATGAGATCATTTTATATATTATTG